ATTCTTGTTGAAATAATATTTTGTTGTTGTAATTTTTTTTTTTTTTTTTTATTATTAAAACGAAATATACCCTCTGCGACATAGGCCCATTGGGTTACAATGTTGTAATTTTAAATTTGTGTAATATGTCAGAAGCAGTTATTTTGGACTTCTATGATATCTAACATTAATGTTTATTGAAACGATAAATATCAACATTTTGTAACTTAAAAAGTCATATGACTAACGAAGTTCTCTTATTATGTTTATTATATTGATGGATTTCAGCAAAATGCTTTGTCGGTTTTGTAAAATAACTATTTCCTTATTTTATTTTTAACACCGAGATAATAATTCAAGTAAAATGTACTACTAAAAAAGTCAATCATATTTCCATAGTAATATATACTTTTAGTAAGTGAATTTTAAAATTTTTATACTCTTATAACTTATTTAATATATAGACATAGTAAATGCAGTACTGTGAGAATTTTTGAATAAAGTTAAGTTTACCAAAATAGGTTACCATTCTTTAAATAACTACTTTTTTTTGGCTTTAATAGAATATTATATATTTTGCGTAATAAATATAACCAACAATGTTCCAATTTATCACTATAATGTTCAAAATATGTATGCAAGGTGTGATAAATAGAACTGATTTTTGGAATAACTTTTGTTCAAATTAATATTTATTTTTGTCTGTTTTTCATTAAAAGACCCTAGCGCTACATGTATAATTTTTTTTTTTTTATGTTTATTTTGTAGTACTGAGAATAAAAAAATTAAAGTTCGATTAAAATTTTGTAGTCAAATTCAAAATAGCCAATTTGAGAATCTGATAAGAATAATTTTGATGGTAAAAAGATTTGTCTAAGTCATACAGTTTATTTTTTAGAATTTTTTTGGTTAAATTAATTTGGAACGTAATAACTTTTTGAATAATATGATTTTTGAGAGTTTCTGACATTGTATATTTCTTAAATTAGTTACTTTGACGAGTAAGTATTATATGATTATAATAATAACAATTTTTGTCATACGTTTAACTAGCTTAATTTTTTTTTCGGGTCTTCTGTTACATTTTGTATATACAGATAATTAAGCCGGTACTACTATTATTTTGTTTGTTTAATATTTCCACACTATTATTGATTGTTATGATACCATTATAAGTGTGTAACTGTTGTCTCTTGTCTGTTAATAAAATAAATATATATAACGAATTCTCGTAGCTATAATAACTCATCGTGTCAATTATAGTAAATAAACCATTTTTTCTCATCTACCGACGTATGTTCCGACCCAACAGAAGGTAAATATAATGACTATTAATAAATTATAACAACAACAATAATAATGATATGTATAATAACAGAATAATATACGTCTAATAAATTGGTTCACTTACCACGTGATTCATCGCGACGTTTTTTGAATAAGAACGGAAACACTGCAAAGATTTAAAAACGATTAATACACACGTGTGCGACCCTTTGGCATAAACAGCGTATAACCGACGGACGGCTCAAGAAGTTTATTTATACGCAAAAACAGAAGCCGCGACCCCACCACGTGCGAAACGGCGATCGCGCCTTGGCAGAAATGCAGAAGCGATACACATAATAATAATATTTACACCTGTGATACGTCGTAGTTATACTATATTATTTCCCACCAATAGGTTGGATTGTAAATATTTATGATTATACGTATTCCATTCCTGTTCCAGCGTACAATAATAAATATGATATTATGTTTAGACGACGTTATTTTGTCATATAGCGTTCAATATCCGTGGTTTACCGGTTTGCATAACACACGCACGAATAAAATAAATTAATWAAAAAAATATCACGGTACAAGCTTAATAAATTTAAATAAATTATACGGACTTTAGGAGTTGTTATAAATTCATAGGCGCCATGTAGACACATACTGCAATGGTAAAAAATAATAACATGCAATTTCAACAATTATCAATTTCTTACAATATTAATAAGGGTCACATAACATTTTGAGTGGTAAAAAATTGATAAAATTCTACTTTGTTTAATGCACTCGTACAGTATTTTATTATACTCGTATATATGATGTATAATATATTATAAACTAAATACCATTCGCTTATTCATCGCTCGAAAATYACGAAAGGTACAAACTTGAAATTTAGAATATTGATTTCTCTAATGAGCAATAAGAAAAGATTTTTTGATATTTGCATTTTAAAGAGTGGTCAAATTGAGATCTTGTGATTGACTACGGAAGGAGTTAAACAAATTTTATTTATAAATGGCTTTCRTTGGATTCTTGGGCAGATCAGGTAGGTATACAAAATATACATACAATTGTTACGTTTATGACTTCGAATAAAGAAAATACATCTCTCATAGATGTCCGGAAGATTTAGAGAGTAANAAAATTCTACTTTGTTTAATGCACTCGTACAGTATTTTATTATACTCGTATATATGATGTATAATATATTATAAACTAAATACCATTCGCTTATTCATCGCTCGAAAATYACGAAAGGTACAAACTTGAAATTTAGAATATTGATTTCTCTAATGAGCAATAAGAAAAGATTTTTTGATATTTGCATTTTAAAGAGTGGTCAAATTGAGATCTTGTGATTGACTACGGAAGGAGTTAAACAAATTTTATTTATAAATGGCTTTCRTTGGATTCTTGGGCAGATCAGGTAGGTATACAAAATATACATACAATTGTTACGTTTATGACTTCGAATAAAGAAAATACATCTCTCATAGATGTCCGGAAGATTTAGAGAGTAAGTGTTTTAACTTTTTTAACCACGTTAAAAATATACTAGTGCTAAATATACTAACAAATATTACTAAAAGTAAAATACAATTTTATAATAATCAATAATAAAATATGCTTAGTAGGTAATATAAGCTGATTATTAGACTAAGGGTATAATATGAGTGTCATACATAGATTATATATTATCTATGGTATAATATGATGATAATTTATCATCTAAATCAATTTTAATACATCCATTACAGTAACTTTAGGTACTYAATGKCGAGGTKTACGCTCGATACCTAYTTAATGGTAGAACAGTTAATTACCTWTACTTGCTAAGCTATTGATTAATTTATTTTTTTGGTAACATGTTAAGAAAGGATTTATCATGACATTGTAAAAAATGGCTAATTTTCCTGTTTATCTGTTACATATTTAGCTTTAGGTAGGTATACCTACTAAACTACCTATGGCGAAATAAAATTAAAATGATTACAAAATATTCATAGGTATTTCTAGATATAATACTATAATTTTCAAAAACATTTTAAAACAGTTAAACACTTAAAATATGTCAGTTAGGTACGTGTAATGCATTATAGATATTATATAATATTATAATAAGTCTTAAATTCTCTTATCATTAATAAATAGTCATTATTTTCAGTATTCATTGGACTATATATTACATTTTCTTTTTACACATAATTATACATGTCTTATAATTTATATTATACACTATTAATGACATTAATGAGTACTTTAATGATGTTTTTCAATAGATAATTATTTTTAAATGTATATACATGTAYATATTTATATACATATATGTGTATATATTTWTGAAAAGTTAAGATAATAAGATTAAGCAATTACATGTTATATACTTATATAAAACAAGGATATACTTGCTATTATAGTTAAAAGTCGAAAAAATATAGATTTAGTGTAAGCACTATAATATTATATGTTAATTAGATTTTTCAATAAGTAGTTAATATTACTTATTTAGGTACACATACGCAACAATATAATATTTAAGTATGTT